TGAAGTGCCTAATGTGCTGTTTGCAAATAAGTAATAAATGGCCAGTACCTGGTCACTTAATTTATTTGTAAGTGTATGGTCACTATGAGTTGGAATCGACTTGACAGCAATGGGTTTGGTTTTTGGTTGTTATATGGTTTCAAGGATATTTTTATAAGTATATGGCTTCAAGGAATAGAATTCACTTGATTTCAGCGTGAACTGTGTTATTTTAGAACATAAGTACATGTTGCTATTCTACTTGGTTGGCAGGAAGCCGTTCATTGCACCACTGGACTTATAGATAAGAATGGTCTCCTAGCTGTAATTTCCATAATGGTGGGCTATAACTGAATTCTAAATTGACTTGCAAAGGATTATTTCACCAGTAGAAACTGAACCTTATGAACGTTTTGCCATCTGTTCCAGGGCAGTGGATTGTGCCTTGCCTTAGTTGTTCAGATAACAGGACCTGTGACTGGAGAGAAATAACTTGGCAACCCCACAACTGCCAATATGGTATCCTGACAAAGCCTCAACTTCAGCAGTGCCTGGGAGGAAGGAAGGTAGGTTCTGGCACAAGTTGGGGGAGCCTGTAATGTATGCCACCTGCAGCACCAAAAACCATACTGTTAATCTACTAGGCCAACTTCTGCTCTCTGACTCCATAGAGGACAACTAAATGAATGTAATTTGGCTTTTTGAATCACATATAGATGTTACCATAGAAGGGCCTAACAATTCTTGCTTAAAATATTCAGTGATTTTCAAATTAAGTCTCTTTGCCAGATGGAGGATATTAAAGTCGTGGTCTGTGCTGACCCAGTTTCATGCTGTTTTCTCAGCACACATATGTGGGAGCTTGTCACGCTGATTGACAGCTGGCAGTTCAGGGCAGGTGGGCCCATCCACTGCAGCTTCAGCAGGCCCTGCTGGTAAAACAGACATCTGGAGCTCAGCACACGAATCCAAATGTCCCTGCATGCGAGACTCACTTCTAGAGCTGACCACGTGCATGGCATTGTTTTCACACTAACCTTCCTGATCTTCTTTCACATCCCGGGCAGGTCTCGCATGGACCTCACTAGACTGGCTTTCCCCTTAGTGAGGCTTCTAAGCCGATTTCTTGGACATGCAGTGTCTTCTTGCTAGGCTTGCTCTGACTAGGTAGAGTCCGGCAGAGCTCTTGGATGTACGCAATGGGCAGTAGACTGAGATGCTTGGTTAATATGAAGTAAGTAATCCTTATCCAGATTTTCTTCTTATATGAGATGCACATTTCCTTATAAACTACTTGTAAGCTCTCAGATATAGACAAGACTGATTTCAAAATTGGTTGCAAAAAAAAAAAAAAAAACTCCAGGAATGCAAAAAGAAAACAGCCTTGGACTGAATGCGTGATGTTTTTGCTAGTAGCAAACAGTTTACGAAGAATGACAGGTGTTGAGGGACAATGTGGGAGGATGGACATCTCCATGGTGATTTCAATATAAACACCTCAGTTTTCAGGACTGAAAAGATAGTTGTATCTCTAAAAGATAAAGCAGCAGTATTATTTACTTTAAACAAGAGAAGAGAAGAAAACTAACATTTAGAAACATATGTTGCTGTCAGTATTAGTCATTTAGCATTGATTCTGTGGAAGGAACTGTGCTGCTAAGTTTCTTACACCTGAGGTTACATTAGACTATAAGCTTCATGAGGGCAGGGAATGTGTCTGATTCACTGTATGATCTCACTGTTTCACACAGTTTGTAATATTTCATAGTCACTTAATATGTGTTGTGTAAATAAATAAATAAAAATCTTGTATATTCCTAATCACGACTCTGTAAGGTAGATATTATTATATCCATTTCATACTTAAAGAAAATTAAAGATCAGAGAGATTGAGTAATTCGCTCAAAATCACACATGTGAGCGGCAACCGTTCAGGCATTTTTGACCACCAACTTGGACAATCCAACCTTGATATCCTAGAAACACAGGACTGGAAGCAATGAAAATAGTTGTTGCCATTAGTTGTTGCCATAACAGTCCAGCGTTTTCTAAACTCTTTCAGAATACCATTCTGACCTCAGAATTTGGAGTGGTCAGGAAAATTCTAAGATGGTGTCATAGTCTGTTAATCTGAACAGCGATAGGTGTTCATTTAAGTTCAACACTAAACTCTGTGGTTTGGGGTAGGACACATATTGTTTCTCAGGCTTGTTTTCCTCATATGTAAAACAGTAAGAAGCATATATGATCTAACCCTATATTTTAGCTATCCAACTTTGTAAAAAGCTAATGGCTTTTGCTCTTTTTTGCTAATTTCAAGGCTAATTATTAACAACTCTGCAAATAATGGGTAAGAAAAGGAAAGATCCTTTTGCCTACCCATTAGCAATTGAGATATGATCTTGCTAAGTCTGAAAATAAGGGTCTATGTTCAGATTGGTGACTCCCAGTTTAACTGAGAAGGCTTGTCTTAGTTGTCCACCCTCCCACCCCCAATCCAGAGGCATCCTTCAGGCCTGTGTGCCCAGAAACTCAAATTTGCCAGCACACTGGCAGTGGTCTAACAGAGTCTCATTTGTTAACCAGAATGCTTATTTATTCTATAAGCAACAGGGAAGCATTTTTAGCAGAAGAGTGGCACAACCAGAATCAGAGAAGTAAGTTCATTCTATAGCTATGTGGAGATTGCCTGCGGGAAGAAGAAACGGATGCTAAAGAGGCAAGGCTGTTTAATGGGAAAATTCCAACATGCAACATTGAGAGGGCCAAGAAAGTGATTGCATAAGTATAGAACAATCCCATCAATGTAATAACTGATGCCTACATACAAACATATCAGTCATCAGGTGCCACGAAGTCGATTTCGACTCCTAGCAATCCCATGTGACAGAGTAGAACAGCTCCATGGGGCTCCTAGGCGCTTTACCATTGCACCAGCAGGGCTCCTTACAAACATGCTTAGATACTCAGAAAGTTTCTGGTAGTAACAGTTAAGAGTGTTTACATTTTTATTTCCCAAAAGAATCTACTGTAAGAGTCCTGTCAATCAAGACTAGTGCTGTCTTTGATTTTCCTCTCACTTGAGAGAACACGGAGTCTGTGAGCGATGCAAATGGGTAACATGCTCAGCTGCTAATCAAAAGTTTGGAGGTTCGAGTTCACTCAGAGGTACCTCGTAAGAAAGGTGTAGCAATCTACTGTTGAAAAATCAGCCATTTAGAACCCTGTGCAACAGAGTTCTACTCTGACATGCAGGGGTTCACGATGAGTCTGAGTCAGCTCGATAGCAACTTGTTTTTGGAGGGAGCAGAAGATGATGTGGTGATGGGAGAGAGGGAGGGAAGCAAGCATGTGAAAAGTGTGTCAGGGATGATGCTTAGTTTCTCACTTTTCAGTGTGTTCCAGTTTACGCACCTTGAGTGGTATAAGTGGGCACATACCTATACATGTAGTTTCCAATGGTATAGTAAGTAGCCTTACTAATTGGAAGACTCTTAATTAACATGAAAAACTCAGATTTTTTTTTTTTTTGTGCTTTAGGCTCAAGTTAGTTTCTCATACAAAAATGTATACCCGGATTTCCCGTGTCCATTCAACCTGCTCCTGACCCTGTCTGTCTTCTCATCTCGCCCCTGGACAAGAGCTGCCCATTTAGTCTCATGTAGCTACTTGAGCTAAGAAGCACACTCTTCACAAGTATTATTTTATGTTTTATAGTCCAGTCTAATCTTTGTCTGAAGAGTTGGCTTCAGGAATGAGAAAAACTCAGATTTTTAACAGTGAGAACCCAAAATCTTCAGTGTGACTAGCAATAAGTAGTGCAAATATGTTGTGCTACAAAAGACAAAACTTTAATTTTAAATCCTAATCAAGACAAGTCTCGGTTTTGGGGGGGCTGATAGCTTGTGTTACCTTTCTGGAGAATCCAATGAAAAGGCAACAGAATTTGGCCGGGCCTATGAGAGTTATTGGAAAGTTAGGCCTTCAAGCAGCATTTTCCTTTCTTTAAAATCTTCATGTAGTCGTTTATCTCTTAAATTTCCTTATGCTGTTATTCTGACCTTCCTCATCTTTTCACTACTGGTTTACATTGACGAATGCAAGACTATACTTGAAAATACAGCCCACGGAAGGACAAGACATAAATCAGTTGAGATTTGAAAAGGCATTCAAATTTCCTGTAACTTTTACGAGAAACTTCATTGCACTTGATGGCGTGTGAGCAGGACCATACCGTCTATTAAAAAGAAAAGTCTGTCTGACTCATGGGGACCTCATGCGTGTCAGAGTAGAACTGTGTGCCATAAGGTTTTGAATGCCTCACTTTTAGCCTTCAGGTGAATTTAAACCTCAAACTTTCAACCTTTAGGCTACCAGCTGAGTGTGTTAGCCGTTTACACCACTCAGGGACTTAACATAACTTCACATAATGTCACATAACGTTAGTTATGTATCTTCACTTCAGCAACATAAACAGGAGACTGATCTTTAGAAGAAGGATGGGACTCTGAGCATTTGTAATGTCCATTTACATGCCAAACTTGTTTGTGTATGGAGGGTAGGGAAATGTGAGATCCCTTTTGAAATCTAAACTTATCCAAATATGAGTTACTTTACGTAGATGTTTTAGTGATTGGGTATATATAATTGTGTTCTATCAAAGCAAGATTCAACTGAAAAAAATAAACTGTTTTCAGTTATACTCCTATACATTTCTTTAGACAGATACCCACCTCCTACTTAATAAACTGAATGGAACATTTGTAAGCATTTTTCAAAATATAGCATATAACATATAATCACAATGAAATACATAGGACGTAGTTCACAAATATGATAATCAAATCTGCAACTGAAAATGCTTTGGAGCCTGATCCAACCAAGTTAAACAAGTACTTGTTTTGTTTGCCAGTTGAAAACATAGCTCAGAATTTAATCCAGTAATAAAATATCTGAGAGAAGAGTACAGTTAAGAACAGGAAATATAAAAAGGCAACATTTTCTGAAAGTACTTGAAAGTCAGCTGTTAAAACAGGAAATGTAACTTAAATTTTTAAGTAATGTTTTCAAGTAAGTAGTGTCTTAGACTGCAATGTGTTTAAATTTTGAAGTGTGGCTAATTTATAATAATATGTTCTGACTAATATGTGAATTCCATTATGATTACACAATTCATTGTTGCCTGTCAGTTTCACTCTGTGGGGGTGGGTAAAAGGAAAGGAGTACACCCCACTCTCACCAAGAAAGGAGGACTTACCCAGGATGCCCTCTTTCACCATTAAATAAATACAGTTATGATCCAGGTGGAATGGCAATAAAGACAAATAATTTTATTCCTAGCAACTAGAAGATGTATGTCTAGATGATTTTGTTTAGTTACTTGCTTTCCTTTTTTACCATATTTCATGTGTTTGAGAGCGATTTCCCTAAATATCAATCTTGCATTTGTTTTTGACCCAAAAGAGCAATTTGGTTTTTCATCTATAGCTAATTTCATTAAAATACATCATTGGAAAACATGTCATATAACCATATAACATTTCACCTAGAAAATGCTTTGTTGAGTGATAAATTGTAGCAAGATTTTCATCATGCCTTAAGTATTTTTAGCCATCTGATCAGTCTCAGCTTCATATTAGAGCTGAGCCACCTCTTGCCTCATTTTGAAATCGGTATTCATCTTGTGAGAGCAGGGTTTCTCAATCTCGGGGCTCATCAGAATCACTGTGGAGCTTTCTAATCATACGGGCTATGCTTGGCCCTGACCCAGATCTAATGAGTAAGAATTTCCTCCTTGTCTTACTTTCATTTCTTTACCAATGTCAGAGCTCTCCAACAGGCCAGCATTACCTAGATTAATGGACAAGTAACTGCTGTGTAAGTTTCCCTATTGGAAAGTTCTAGTGGATTCCTGTTAGCTGGTCTGAGTCTTGTGTTGGGATCTACATGCACTATTCATACTTCTATGGATATTGAAGATAGAACCTAAGCAGGAGGAAAGAGAAAGGAAGAAATGACAAAAAGTTGTATTTCCTTTGTATGTTCTACATATACCCAGTTCTTTCTCAGCTTTACCAGATCAGAAGAATTAGAGAGCTAACAAGCTCCAGATACTTCACTGCCTCCATGCTGACTCACTCAGATAGCCCTCAAGGCTTCTCTTTATATTGCTTTATAACTTGTTCTACTAAATAGGTCCTTGTTTCTTTTGATGTCTCTGGAGAAAAGAAGTTATAGAGTGAAATATATACATGTCTATGTATTATATCATTGTTCATTCCCTTTATTCATAATAAATAAAGTGGAATGAAAATCATTTCATTGTATATTTACATCAAAAATTCCCCCAAAGTCTTGGTTGCATTTTCACCAATAAAATATATTTCTTGCTATTATTTGTCCCAGGGAACCAACTTCTCTAAGAATAGAAATCCTTTTATTTATCATGTGGATTACAAACTTAGCCTTTCATATATTCCCAACTCTTGCTAACTTGCAGGTAGAAAAATGTGAACTTAGGGGTTAATTTTTCCCCAGGAAAACTTAGCATGTAGGAGAATGTGGTAGAGACTGGCCAACTGTTCTTCAAACTCATTCCCTCTTCCTCCTGGCACACAGCTTAACATAATTCTCAGTCTTCCTTGAAGTTAGGTGTGTGGCCATGTGACTGGGTTCTAGCCAATGGAAGGTGAGTGGCAAGGGTGTGCCCACTTCCAGGTCTGGCCCATAGAAAGCCGGAAGCTCCTTGGAGACCATAATGGAAGAAGGCACAGTGCCATCAGCCTGGAACCTGGATTGACTTCCCTACCCTTTGTCCCCACACATGCACCTGCCTGAAACCACCTTGAACTGGTTTCCTGAGGGAGAAATAAACTTTAATTGTATTTGAGCCATTATACATTTTTGACTCTATAGGTTATAGCACTTAGCCTGTCCCAGCTAATACAGGGACTATGGTGTTGGAAATTGGAAATGGAAATAAAGATAGTTAAACCATTACAGGCTCTATTTTTTAATAATCTCCAAGCTTTAGTAAAGCCTAGGAACATAATGTATTCTAAGTCTGTTGGTCTATGATAGTATGAAAAAGAATGGGGAAAATATCTTTGGTTCACACCGTGTGCAGAGTTTCAGGAATAGAACAGATGCAAAACTCTTCCAAATACATCTTTGCCTCCAGCCGATAAGCTGAGACCCAGCTTTACATGACGCATCCCAAGCACAGATGTTTCTGCTCCTCTCCAGAGCCCACCTCGATGGAGCATGGTCACCTCACCACATCACAGGACCAGAAACGAGATGCTGCTAAGGAAAATAGGATTCAATCTTTAGAGTAAAGTTGCTACAGGAATCTAAGATATAATTAGCATTATACTCTGATAATATTGAATCAACACTTAATCCTGAATCTCTTAAGTCATTGTTCTACATAAACAGAAAGAAAGTTTATGTAAGTTCTAAGTCAAGGACCTTGGTGGCACAGTGGTTAAGCACTTGGCTGCTAACCAAAAGGTTGGCAGTTCAAATCCACCAGCTGCTCCACGGGAAAAAGATGTGACAATCTGCTTCTATAAAGATTACAGCCTTGGAAACCCTATGGGCCAGTTCTAGTCTGTCCTATAGGGTCTCTGTGAGTTCAACTCAGTAGCAATGGGTTTTAAGTCTAAGACCCTTTGATGTTCAATTCAATAAATATTTTATAAAGTGCATGCAAGATATTATGGGGCAAAACTAAAATGAATTAGAAATTGACCTTGATTTCAAATACCTCTTGATAGCATATGAGAGAAAAAAAACAGACACAGAGAACTATGATTTCATGTATACTTTGATGAAATCTATAGTGGAAGTAAAAATGTAATGAAATCACAGAGGACAGAGAAGGCCATTCTAACTAGGAGACTTGGACGAGACCTGCTGGAAGAGGTGGCATTTGTGCTGAGTCTGGAAGTCATGCTGCATTGGAGCTTTCAAGGCAGAGAGATTAGCACAAGGGAAAACAGATGTTAGGGAGTACAAATCACGGTGAGTGAAAAAGTGTGGCATGGCTACATTAGCCATTAACCCTGCACTTGGAGTCAAAGGACCTGGGTTTGAGTCCTGTGTCCCCATGTACTACATTTATGAGCTCTGTCTCCCTGAACCCAAATTCCTCATCTGTGAAACAGAGATAATGATTTAAATCTCACAATGGTAAAGATTCAAAGTGAGTATCCTGGGTGAAATCTTTACCCAGCAAAGCCTGAAACTCAATAAGAATTCAGTAAATGTTAGCTGAACCTCCGTAGTTTAGACCTTATTTTCTAGGAAATGGAGAGCCAATAAAGGTTTTGAGCATGCAAATCAGATGACCAGAGGTGGGCATTTGGGAATTTATCCTAGAAATACTGTATGTAGAATGAATTAGAGGGCACACATTATGCAGGAAGGAAGACCCATTAGGACAATATTATAATAGTGCATCTTTCAGGCAATGAGAGCATGATGCAGAGGTGTGGTGGTGGGAATAGGAAGGAGGTGATGAGAGACTTCATTGGATGGAAAATGGCACTGGGATATGCCCTGGGACATGAACTGCTGTTCAGGAAATCAGGTTCTAGTCCTGTGGCTCTTTTCTCAGGTAGTGATATTATTTCTGTTGAGCTACCTAACCACTGCAGATTCCCAGTTTCCTCATCTCTATAATATAGAGATTGCACTAGAAAATCTCCGAATATTCCTACAGCATCAAAATACTTTACATCTATACCAACAACCACTGCCACGGAGTCGATTCCAACTCATAGTGACCCTATAGGACAGAGTAGAACTTCCCCAGAGGGTTTCCAAGGCTGTGATCTTTACAGAAGCAGACTGCCACATCTTTCTCCCGAGGAGCGGCTGGTAGGTTTGAACCCTCAGCCTTTTAGTTAGCAGCTGAGCACTTAACCACTGCACCACCAGAGCTCCTTCCTCACATCTATATGAATCAATAAAATGTGTAGGCTGATTAGATGAGAACGTAAAGAGAATGATAGTGAGAAATCAAAAATAACATGGCTCAAAAAAGCTATAAATCTGAGTTAAGGGCCAGTAGCTAATGTTGTTGCTAGGAACGAGGAGAATGAACAGGTGTGGGGGAGAGTGTGATGAGTGTAATTTCTAACAGTTTGACAGGCTGTCCTTCAAACAATTAGACAAGTGTTTTATGAGTATTAAAAACATTAATTACTTTAGTCTCCTATACTATGCAATGAAAACAAAATTTTCTTTCTTTAATTTATAGATTCTTTTCATTGGAGACTCAACCAACAGGGGGATAATGTACTATCTGATCGAAAGACTGAATGAAACTCTGCAGGAATGGCAGAAGGTGCATGGCATTAAATTCTATCACAACGTCAATGGTGGGAAGACTTTGATCAGTTATTCCTACTATCCCCAGTTCTGGATAAGCTCTTTATTGAGACCAACGTTTGAAAAAGCACTTGAACATCTCTTGCAAAGGTACAATGGAGCTATTATGAATGGCACAATGCCAAAATGTACTGATGTTTTACTAGCGGTCATAATTGCTCACCGTATATCAAATGTGCTGAAAAGCTTAGATACCAAGTAATGTGGCTGAAAATGAGCTGGAAATGACAAAGAGGTCCTGTGATCAGGATGCCAGATATGGTTCAATGAAATGTGAGGCAACGCTGTTAAAATGTTTACCATCTGTATTAAGACAACGTGCTGTTTTTCTTTCTGGATTTCAGATCACGTCCGCTGGAGAATAGTGGCCAGACAGTATTAGTTGTTGGTGGGGTTCAGTGGCTTAATTCCAATCACCTGCAAATTATTCACAAGGTTTTGAAGAGGTAAGTTTCTGTAACAATAATTGTCATTAGTTTTCCAGGTTAAAAAAAAAAAAAAAGGTACTATTGATGTGACTGAATTTTATCAAGACTGTATAGAAAGACCAATTTGTAATTTGAATTAAGCGTTTAAAGCCTAGTTGAAAATATTTAAAATACTTTAATATCCGATCACAATATCATTCATTAGTATCCAAATTTACATTTACAACAGATCAAACATGTCCACTGACACATAAAAACACTATTCAGAAAAAAAAAAGCTAACATGCATCAAGCCTATAAAATGGAAGTTTAGTCCTATATGCCAACTATCATATTCTAAAATAATTCCACCATATTTGTTTGTGTAAATCTGGAAGTGTAATATAAGTTCATAACTTTAGAATTCTGATTATTTCATCCAGGGAAAATTTACCCAATATCCTGGTGATCATCAAAACATTGGGAATTGGATTTCATCTACCAGTGGACGGAGTGCATTTTTTAAATCAGGTAAACCGATTTCTTCTGGGATGTTTACACTATGTGGTTCCTGTAAGGACCTCTGCTGGTGTCTGAAAAAGGACCCAAAAGGCACTCTGATAATATTCAGCAAGCTTCAGACAAATCAAATGAGATAATATGCTTAAGGATTATGATTTCAACTCAATAATTATTCCTGGAACAAGGAGACCATAGCTAATAAATATGTTGTAAATTATCTATTGAGCTCATAAAAGAATAAAGGGGATGTCAAACTATAAAAAAAAATAAAGACCTGAGGAGAATACAAGAGCGATCATGCTTTGAGTATCCCCACCCCCACCTATGTTTTATGTACCTTTAAAGGCTATATACCAAAGCAAAACCAAACCCGCTGCCATGAAATCAATTCTGACTCAAAGTGATCCTATAGGACAAAGTAGAACTGCCCCATGGGGTTTCCAAGGTGTTGGTTTTAAGAAGTAGATTGCCACATCTTTCTCCTGCGGAGCAGCTGGTAGGTTCAAACTAATAACCTTTTGTTAGCAGCCAAGCGCTTAACCACTGTGCCACAAGGGCTCACTAAAGTCTGTATAGAAAAGCTTTAATTCCTTAAAGTTCATGCAGAAACCACAAAAAAAAAAATTGTCAATATCAATGATTCTTTTGGGAAAGACTCATCTTTTTGAAGATGATATCTGACTGGTTGCTTTAAAACTATCATCTTTGAAGTCGTATCATTAATTTTTTCTCTGGTTGGATGTTCAGGACCTCTGACCAGTTCTTGTAGGAGACAGTAAGTTAGTCTCAGCACTGAGTGGAAGTCTTAGCAAAGAAGAGAAAGACAACACCTATAGGTAAGAGAACCAGCTTCTCTGGCTGAGCAAGGAGGGGTGACGGGCAGCCTGGGTTTATGTGCAGTTGCAAATCTGGCAGCGGTACTGGAAATTGGAGAGATGGGGGCTGCCCTTTTAATACACAGTGAGGGTGAGATTTATTCTTGTGTCAGTGCTGGGTGCTCCTAGCTTTCCCCAGCACAGATTACATGTCTTCTTCTCCTTTCTGGAACTCTTCCTGCCTGGAGCCCAGATCTGCAATGTGAAAGCAGGAGAACTGGTAGACTGTGGCTAAAGTAAGGCCTCAAAATTCAGCCTGTTGGGGTCAGGAGGGGGTAAGGTAATTTAAAATGAGTTGAGGCATTTAACACCTGGGGTAGCTAAAAGATTTGAGACTATTGGGGATTAGAAGAGGAGGTTTTGATAATTTTTCTATGAGTTCTGAATGGAATCCCCTTCAACGTTATTTGAAAGCTGCAGGAGAAGATTCCAACAGCTTTGTAATGACTCTTTGGTAGCTCCACCATGCTCCTTTGAATGCAGCTCCTTGCAGTAACTGGAGTACTTGTGACCCCCACTTATATTTAGGTTACTAACACAGACTCAATGCATTTCAGCAGACAGCAAACATTTTTTCATCACATGTGTGCCAAACACTGGGTCAAACACTGTACCTTCCACTAAGGTATTGGTGGTGCTCATCAGTCTTTTCAAACTGAACGAAGACAGAAGGAGGGAATAAGAGGAGGGGGGAAAATGAAAGAAAAGGATAACAGCAAGTGAAGGTAGAAAATAAATCTGAACTCCTCATCATATGCTTCCTTGGCCATTCAAGACTTGGCCTCTGCCTTCCTCTGTAGATTCATCCCTTGCCACCAGCACATATGCACACGTGTGCATGGACGCACACACGCACACACACATACAACACAGCTGAGCATGTTCCAGCTTCTCAAACATGCGATGCTACTCTCAGTCACCTCCAGGTCTTTAAAATCACTGTTCTATCTTTTTGGAACCCACTCTCCCACCACCCCTTCACACCGTCATTTGTTAGGTGTCAGTTCAAATGCTGTTTCCTCTGGGAAGACGTTCTTGACTCACTAGACGGGGTTGGCTGTTCCTGCCATAAGCTGCTGTCATGGTGCCCAGTGTCCTCGCTCATTGCACTCAGTACCAGAGTGAGCAATGCAGACCCCCACCCTTGCTCTCACAGAGATTACAGCCTAGCAGGGAGATAAACGATGATGTCCATTACCTTGGACGTGGTAGGGGTCGGGAAGGGGGAACAAAGAGGAAATGAATGTGATCCAGAGGGGCAGCAGCTGGAACCTTCACTCAACTCTGTTACTCTCCATAGCACACTCTCCTTCACACCTTCCCCACCCCCACTGCCTGGCAAACCTCCCAAGACTCTGTTCTCCAATCCTTCTTGAAGACTCACTGTCCAGCTGTCCCCCTGCCCCGGTAGAGCTACACCATTTCTCTGCTGGCCCAGAGCCTAGTATATTTACCTCCAATAAAAGACTTACTAAATGTTTATATATCTATTTTTTCTATTTGAATGCAATGTGTTAAGAGCAGGGACCATGATTTACTCATCCTTATATTCCTGTCCCTCAGCACAGAGCTTAAGCACCATGCTAGCTATTCAAATATTAATGGACGTGAATCCAAATCAACACAGATAGCATCTGTGGGTTTCAAACCTTGGTTTTTAAATTGAGAATGTTAGGTATTGTAATGGGTCTTTGTGGACAGTAAACCTCACTACTATTCATGGGAGGGAAAGCTCAAAACTATATGTCACTAAAAATATTTGTATGTTTCTGTTTCATATATACATAAATGTTTATATGTATATTTTGAGTAAAAAAATTAGAACACACCTTTGTTTTAAGAAATCCATATGAAATTAATTATTTATCTCACAGTATGACCAATCTCTCTAAAGGACATGATATTTATTTGCGGTCTGCCTGAGTTACTAAGTCATAAGACAGTCCTCTGTTAATAAAAGTCCTCATTCTTCTGCTTTACAATACAGAGTGAAGTACAGAGCTTATGGAAAGAAAATGTGATTATTCTGGATGCTGCAAAAAAATATGGCTATGAAGTAGTTGATACCTTCACTATAACAATGGGGCGATACAAAGAGTTTCTGCAAGGGACGTGTGGATGTCATTTCCATGAGGTACTTATGCTGGCTCTCTGATTTTTGTAGCTTTTAATTTTTTTAATTTCTCCTTGTGTCTTTAATTGCATTGTCAGTCTTATTTTGCATGAGAAAGCTACGTCAGGAAGAGATTAAATGATGTGTTCATCATCACTCAGCCAAAGTATGTAGTAATCACAACAGCATTATTGATGTTAGTTGCCTTCTAGTCAGCTCGGACCCATGGCAACCTTATGTATAACAGAATGAAACTGTTGCCTCGTCCTGCTCCATCTTCACGATTGTTGGTATGTGTTATGGATTGGATTGTGTCCCTCAAAAATGTGTGTCAACTTGGCTAGGCCATGATTCCCAGGATGGTGTGACTGTCCACCATTTTGTCTCCTGATGTGATTTTCCTGTGTGTTGTAAATCATACCTCTATGATGTTAATGAGGCAGGATTAGATGCAGTTATATTAATGAGGCAGGACTCAATCTACAAGATTAGGTTGTATCTTGAGTCAGTCTCTTTTGAAATATAAAAGAGAATAGTGAGCAGGGAGACAGGGGCATCTCATACCACCAAGAAAGTAGTGCTAGGAGCAGAATGCGTGCTTTGAACCTGGGGTCCCTGCACTGAGAAGCTCCTAGACCAGGGGAAGATTGATGACAAAGACCTTCCTCCAGAGCTGACACAGACAGAAAGCCTTCCCCTGGAGCTGACACCCTGAATTCGGACTTCTGGCTTACTAGACTGCGAGAGAATAAACTTGTTTGTTGAAGCCATCACTTGTGGTATTTCTGTTATAGCAGCACTAGATAACTAAGACAGTATTTTTGAGTCCATTGTTTCAGGTATTTTGTCAATCCATCTCAACAAAGGCCTCCCTCACCTTTGCTGGCCCTTCACTTTACCAAATATAATGTCCTTTTCTAGCAATTTGTCTTTCGCGATGACATGTTCAAGGTAAGCGAGCTTAAGTTTTGCCATCATCACTTCTAAGGAATATTCCAGGAAGAAAGGCCTAGTGATCTACTTCCAAAAATTAGCCAATGAAAATGTTATGGAGTCATAACAATAGGCAATACAAAATGAGTGTTAAAAAAAAAATCAGTGTCTATTTAGACAGTCAAAACTAGGATAAAATGTCTGCCTTGAACATCATGCCCTTTTCAGATCTATCTATATGGGATCAGATTGACAACAGTAACTCAACAGATTAGATTGGAAACGTAGAGGTCAGTGAGGTTATGTTAATGAGGGAGGAACAACTCAGAATAGGTAAGAATGGTTGCACAACTCAAAGAATGTAATCTGTGTCACTAAATTGTACATGTAGAAATTGTTGAATTGGTGTATGTTCTGCTGTGTGTATTCTCAACATCAACAACAAAAATAAAATAAATTATGAAACGTAAAAATAAAATAACTAGGATCACTGGTCAGCGCAAACAGGAAGATGGGAAGCTGGAGAGCACGTGCCTTCTTCAATAGATCCCAAGACTTCCTGTCGCAAATTGCAGCACAGAACAAGACAAGCTTCTTTAGTTGTGGCAGCTTTAAAATCAGATCAATTTAATGTGCGAAGTGTAATGAATGACCTTCCTCCATTGGTTTATCCAATGCATAACAGGAGGGCCTGTGTTTGAACAGGGTCCCCCCCCCCCGCCATGGTGGTGCAAATGGCCTTGTTTGTAACCAGTAATTAAATAGGCTGAACTAATAAGGGAGCCCTCGGGGTGCAGTGGTTAAGAGCTTGGCTGCTAACCGGGAGGTCAGCAATTCAAATCCACCAGGTGCTGCTTGGAAACCCTATGGGGCAGTTCTACTCTGTCGTATAGCGTCACTATGAGTTGAAATCGACTCAACGGCAACAGGTTTGATTTGGTTTGTTAACTGATAAGGTGATAGCAGGAAAACAATTTTATTCTTTTTCCTACTATCTTTTCAAACCCCTCTGTGGATTATTGCTTCCCTACCTCTTGAATAAAATTTTGGGTGGGTCCCATAACTTTGAAATCACTTTCAGATAATCAAAGCACTACAATAACTTTCAGGTATAAGATGAGAATCACTTCATTACTAAAATTGTCCAGTCCTATGTCATAATCACATAAGTCATTCCCTTCTGTCAGCTCAGGCCTGCCTCAGACTCAAAAGCTGGAAGTAGGGGAGAGGATACAGAGGGCTTCTTTCCTATTTCTTCATCTTGCTTTGCTACCCTTCTTCCACCTCTTCTGCATTGGTTTGAAGTAGGGAGGAGACGTTAAAGACAAGAAAGTTCTTACTTCACTGGCACAGGTGTAATCCAGAGATGTGCCCTCTGGATATAGAATGCTAATTCTTTCTTTTTTAGGGTGTTTCTGTGGAGACTCCACTTGAGCCCTCTTGCTGCACCTCCCTTGTAGAGGCAATATCTTTCTTACAGCTGGATTTCTTTCTCGGCCCTTGGCATCCAACTGTCTACCCCTCTGTTGGGAGCCACATTGCCCCTCCAGGCACCTTCCTGGAAAATAGTCAAATAGCTCTAGGCTTGCTATACTCAATTGCCCATATTGGTCCACAAGAAGCACTCATGCATCTTTGCTCTGCCATTGCTGGAAATACAGTTAGCGCTCTCTTGCTCGCTGTCTTTCACTTTCTCTCACTTACTGTCACTCTTTCACTCTCTCTCTGCTGCCTTAAACATTATCTATAGCTGCAGTGTTTCATACTAGTTTTTATGCTCCCAAAACCCCAAATGGCATGTGTCCAGCTCTCCAAGTTAGACTCTGGAAGCCCCCTCTCACTAGGCTTAAAGCAAGGGTAAAGCAACTCCCCAAAGGGGAGGAAGACAACAGAATATTTGGAAAATTCCTCACATAGAAATTCTCCCTTTTTTTTTCCTCTTTGTCTCCCAACTTTTTTGATGAGACAAAGGTTTGCAAAACTGCATTTTGTTGACACTTTTGCAAGTCCTGCATAGGTAATCCAGACATTACTTTGGAATGTGAGGTTACTTAGCTGCTGTTGCTTAGCTCTGGGTTTCAGGAGTTTTGGCTGAAACTGAGATGGAGAGAGTCTCATTATATCATCCTGTCGGAGGCTGATTCATTCATTCTTTCTTGCTTAACCACCCCCCTCCTTTGTAAACCAGGATGCATTCATTCATGGCTTGGCCAGTGAAGTCACAACTAAAGGTTCCTTGGAATCCTGTTTCTCAGTCCATTGCTGACTGTCAGAAGCCATCTTGTTCCTTGTGTTGTTGTTAGGGGCCATCGAGTTGGTTCCAACTCATAGTGTCCCTATGTACAACAACCAAACACTGCCTGGTCCTGTGCCATCCTCACAATCTTTGTTATGCTTGAGCCCATTATTGCCGCCACTGTGTCAATCTATCTCATTGAAGGTCTTCCTCTGTTTCACTGACCCTCTACTTTACCAAGCATGATGTCCTTCTCCAGGGACTGATCCCTCCTGACAACATGTCCAAAGTATGTGAGACATAGTCTCATCATCCTTGCTTCTAAGGAGCATTTTGCTTGTACTTCTTCCAAGACAGATTTATTCATTCTTTTGACAGTACATGGTACTCGATATTCCTTGCCAACATCTTGGTCCCTAGGTTCTTACAGATACCCAAAAAAAGATTCTGACACTACATTGGTTCTTCTGCATGAGCTACTGATGGATTCACATTGTATTCTTATAACCAATGACCCTGCATCTCAGAGAGTGAGAGCCCACAGCCACAGGAGAGGGCACAGGCAACATGACATTCTAAACTTTTGTTCTAGCAGCTTGAAAGTTGGCTATGCTGTTGCAGAACAGATTTTAAGCTGTAAGAGTCTGTGTGTTTACTTATTTCTTCCACAAAAAAAAATATATCACCCTTAGAGTCCCTATCCAAGTTACAAGGAGTCAAGACTTAGAAACACAAAAGTGGAGGGCCTGGAAGAGGAAGAAACAATGAGCTTGCAGCTGAGCCAGCTCAGGGCCACAGATGGCCACAAAAGCAAACCAAAGGCTGCCAACCCCACAGAAAATGGGGACCTTTGAGAGACAATATACACATTGCTTTTTGCCTCTTTTAGGAAAGGTTTGTTTATCCACCTAATTATTTTTACATAATTAATTTTACATAATTGTCTTCATTTAGCATTTTTGGGAGAAGGTTTCTGTTTTTCTTTTTTAGCTTTTGTGTTCTGGAAGTCTATAAAGGAGATGTCCTCCTATGCTTTCCGGCATGGCTCCAATTAAAAACAGAAGCTGTCCTTCCCACATGATTGCATTACATGTTATCTCCTGCACACGTCAGGATTGTTACACTAAGAATCATGGAATGTGAGAACCACAAGACAAAAACTTCTAGAACCACCAGGATTGATCGTTGGCTTTTAATTACTACTAATTAAAAAAATCCTTTATTTGCATAATAATGATTTAAGCATGTCAGGTAAAACGATGTTACTTGTTGGATGTTGTCTTGATGGCAAGCTCTCCCAAATTATTTCAGCTGATTCTGCCGCAGTGGTATCCATTTTGGAGTTTTCCTGTTTGAGCTAAAATGTGCTTCTGAGCATTTGTCTTTCCAGTCACAGCATAGAGCGATAAGATCATCTTTCTCAACTGACTCCCTTCCTCAAAAAGTCTCTAAACTCGTTCATTGCTTAGGCATAATTGTTGCTTAACTCTTGAACAGTTTGTACCATTTCTGCTTCTGGAAGTTTCTAGTGTTGACACTGATGCTTTTATAAGCTTTCTAAACCACCACCCAATATTTTCAATCCCTGTTTATTTTATACAATCAAGATAATCTAAAACTCCTTGTAAAGAATGTTTTGATGATGAATGTAGCAAGCCAGGGGAAAATTGATTACTGGTCTCATGCAAAACATATTAAAGTGGAGAAATTCTGTTGATAACAGTTTTTCCCTTTGTGCTCGTATTCTGAGCCTGGCAAGGAAAGTTTGCTGTAAAATAATAGCAAGAAGTGGAATCAGCTGCTTAGAACCATAAGAATTTTGGTTTGGCGGCCTTGTCTCTTTAGGTGTTAA